CCCCAAAACCCCAAAACCCCAAAACCCCAAAACCCCAGGAAATAAGATATTATTGAGGCTGATTAAGCAATACTCCACACCTCGATTTCTTCAATGTCCCAGCCAGTTTCACTTCCTGCGAGGAAAGTCGAGGGATCGTATTGATTAGGACACCTGTAGACATTGCCTAGCCTGCTATAGCTATTATCTAGCTTTCTGAAGGCAATGAATAGATCGCTATTATTAGCTTCTCCAAAGCCTGGGCTGTATTTGTTTTGATTCTGTTTAATAGCTTTATCAGCTTTATGACGTTCTATAGGTCATTTGATTCATTTTCGGCCCTTTCCATCCGTCAGAGAGAATAAGAAGGCGTCTAGAGGTTACTTTTAAAATACCTTCGCATTGGGAGTACACATACTCGCTGATCCAGCTGGTTGGGTTATAACCACCAAAGATGTGCCCGTTGAGGGTCTTGATTATCATTATTGTCTGGCCTTTATTATCACATTTTTCATGAAACTCAAATGGGCTCTGACCATCCCTGGTTAGCTGGAATAATCGTTCTGTTGATCGCAATTTTTCAAACATTGAAACGAATTCTGGAGTGATTAAGTTTGGTTTTAGGATAGTTGACTTCCTGAACAGATCTATAAATTTTTATGAATTTTTTACCTCTAACCTTGTCAAGATAGGATTGAGAGATTGGAGCAAACTTTATGTCCTCAACAATACGATGCACTACATTGGTTATCACTGTATACCTTCACTTAACACATTCTGGTCGAGTAAAATTAAACTTTCAGTTATATCAATTTGATCGATATTTATGATATCTGCTTTCTTCACAACATTTCTCATTACTTGGAACAGATTATTCGTCTTGTATCGTTTAATAATAGCCAGTTCCTCCTCTATAACTGTAAGCAGAAGGATACTAGCTTGTTGAGACAATTCCTGCATTAATTTTGACCTCTGTTTGAGAAGTTTAAGAGCCTCAGCCCTCCCATAGGCTTGTTCGATAGAGAGGTCGTAGCACCTTGAAACTTCAAGGTTTATTTTATCTCGCTTGACTACAGATTAACAAAAAGCATACTTTCAATGATCTTCTGAAGGAGTTGAAAATCAGTTTCGATTTTATTTCAAGTACAAATCTTTTTGGTGCTTCAATGAAGTTACGGCTAAATTATGAGATATTATGGAAATATACTTTCTTTTAATTTAACAGCTACATCATCCATTTGAGGGTCTAAAATATACCCAATTGGGTTACCGTAGATAGACTTGAAATTTCAATGCTCAGCCCTGATGTTAAGATCGTCAATATAATAGACTTTGTGATCAAGATGAGGGTTATTTGGACTAGATTTTGTCAAAAGAGTTCTTACTTTCAAGCATTTGTAGCAGAGATGCTTGTTTCAATCAACACAATAGTGATTCTTCTTGTCCAAGTGATGATCACAATATTCTACAATTTTATAAACTCAATACCAGCTTCTGGGTTAATTACATTGTAATTGACATCTTTCTCTTCCTGCAATTTAGAAAAAAGTTACTTCTAGTTTATTCTGAGTGGCTGGCGCTTCTGCTGTATAGTCAGGACCGTGATTGTCAAAACTAGAATGAAGATATATCATACCAGTAATGAAGATACTCTAGTGTAACTTTGCGGCTTTCAGTCATTTCCTCATTTATAGTACTTTCTGGACAATAAAATCACCTCATTTCTACAATATTCTTCCAAGAATACCATTATATCCTGTGTACTTGTTGAAATCTAGCAGAAATTGGCTTCACTATAACCCATGAAGACCCTAAACCATACTGTATATCAGCTAGCATGCTTGCAAGAATTGACTAGCCTGAAACATTTCTTTCTAAAGCAGTAACTTCACTCTCCTATAAATCATCTATGCCAAATACCAAGTATTTTCTTATTTGTCAACTTTGGCAAATATTTCTTTGAACTTTACTCTTTGTATTTGGTCTATTATATCGACTAGGGATTCATACTTTTATTGTCAGAGTCTGCAGGCTGTCCAGCTGGGGACTTGCTGCCATTCTTGGCTAATTGTTTGCCCTTGAGTTTGGATACAATCTTCATGAAACTCTGGATATCATAATAAGAATAAAACCTACAAGGCCTTTATTTGGTAACATCCTGCTTCTTTTGTTGTTCATGATCAAACACTGGTTTGCTAGAGGTCTTCCTTATGAATTTAGTCCCTTTGGAAGAATCCAGATTTGTCTAGAAGAAATTTACTTTGGTGATCGAACCTGGGATTGGGGTATTTGGCTTATAGCTCTGCTTGGTGAGTACAGGTCTTACCGCTTATGCTTTGAATTTGGCTGTACTAGGATCTCTGAATTACTGCTGATTTTCCTTGAGCCAGCTGTTAATTTAGAATTCTTCTTTGCTAGCTTTGTTGAAGTTCTGTTGTTGCTCTCAATCGTGGTTTCGGTAGATCGTTCTAGAGGTAATTGTACAATTTACTTCGATCAATACTGTTGCTCATGAAAGCGTTGAAACTAGAGATATAACCAGAGGCGTACCTTGTCGTAGGCCTTTTTATGCTTGGGAGTTCTGAGTTGTTCTTTCTATTTTTAAGCCTCTTTCGTTTCATTTTTAGGATTGCTTTTTCCATTTTCAAAAATTTTATTTTGTCTTGGGGTTTTGGGGTTTTGGGGTTTTGGGGTTTTGGGG